CTGACGGTTGTGATAACATAAAATCAGGGCAAGGAGGTAGAAATCAATTTAAGATTAACGCTTTCACTTTTCTCTGTGATGATGTCTTCCTCATCATGTATGTGCTCCTAACAATCTCTATGTAGGATTATCGTATTCAAGATCCTGATATTATGTATTGAAGGATTTAATCTTTGAGAGTTTACTTATTTATTTCCACTTTCTCCACAGGTATGACCATTATAATTAAATATCTTAGTGCTAAAAATTAATTTATGTCTTGTAGTATGATAATAGACTTTCAATATGTTAGTTTTCTGTGTGATTTTATTGCTTCCATACCTTTTAGACCAAAATGACTTTAACAAGTGAAACCTCCTCTTCCTTTATTGTTTTGCCTTCACATGCTAGCTAGTGCTTATTTACCAAAGTGTATGTTAATCCGTTGAAATGTGATGCTACTTGTTTGTAAAGCAATGTTTCCCTTAAATTTTATAGAGTAGTATTCGAAATATTATGCATAAATGTTTAATACAACTGTGTGCATAGTAAATGATTCAGCTGGATATACTGCCTACCGTTATGTCCACTATAAATTTGACCAAAGCAAATGTTACTTGCTCAGAGTGTTACTACTTGTGGCTGGCTCTATTTAGTTGAATTAATATTCTTGTTTTCATTGTTTGTAGCATCTTTTGATGGGCAATGGCAATAGATAGCTCTCTGATAGTTGTTTCACATTAGGTTGCTCCTATCAACAAAAGAATTAGTTATTCTTTGATATTTCTGTGTGAATACATATATTTTTGGAATATGATCATTAGCTTGACTGTCTATTAATATATTTTTTCAGGCCTCAGATATAGAGACTGCCCATCAACCACAAGTTGGACCAACCATCAATTAGAGCTCTTCATATCAAAGTAACAATGATGGTGGAATTAGAAATAATTTTATTATCTTTTTTCATTATGGCATTTGAAATTAGGGGAGTGCACTATTTGGGTTAAATCGAAAAATTAAATCGAATTTTAATTTGGATTGGTTTTTAAGTTCTTGGTTTGGTTTTGGATACATAATTTACATTGTTCATTTTTTTTTTGTTTTATTTTCGGTTTAGAAAAATCCTAATCGGAAAATCAAAAAAAATAAAAATAAAAATAATATATATATATATATATATATATATATATATATATATATATATATACACATAGAGAGAGAGAGAGAGAGAGAGAGAGAGAGAGAGAGAGAATTAAGTTAGAGTTAACTACTTTGTCCCTTTTTAGTTAATTTTTATTATGATTTAGTTTATTTTCTTATGTTTGGACATCTATATATAATTGATATACTTGTTAAGTGTTATGCTTTACATTCTACTTGTGATTTATGTTAAAAATATATTTTGGTTTGAATTGGATTACAATTTTTCAAAAACCAAAAACCCCAAATTGAATAATATAAAACCGAACCGTACCCCTACTTGAAATTGCTATTTTAATGATGTAACTTTATAGCTTTAAATATATAATACTTCAAAACATTAGTCTTTTGATGATGTACTTTGCTTAATATGATGAATATTTTGTTCATTTGATCTTTTACACTTTGTCTGGATCATTGTTATCATTGTCTCATAATATATTGTTTTGTATTGTACTGTATTGTATGGTAGATACAATGTTTGGCTAGACTGTATTGTTTGTTGTTGTTTAACAAAATTTAAATTGTTTGGTTTGATCGTATCATAATGTATTGTAATTCATAAATTTACTAAAATATCCTAACTATTCTAGACTAGGAGGTTTGACTTGATTTAAATAATTAAGATAAAAGTTAAAATAATATTTTGAAATATTACGTAAATATATAATTAAAATAGAAATAAAGTAACAATGGGAACACACCAAAATGGTTGTTCAATAAAATAGGGTTTTCATTGTTACGTAACAACAAAATCTAATAATACAATACAATATATTTTAAGTAACAATCAAAACAAATATTATAGGCATAGTATTGATACAATACAATACAATGAATAACAATGATCCAAACATAGTGTTATGTTGTGTTAAAATTTCTAATTATAGAAATTTAAATATTTAAGGGGCAATAAATAAGATGTAAATATGGATTGACACAATAAGAAAATATGACGTTTCTAAACCTTCATAATATATAAATGATTTTTTTTTTTACAATTACGACGGTTGCAAATCGGCCGCTCTATACAACAGAAAATATCGTATTAACAAGAGTATTGCGACGATTTTTATATAGATATTACGACAGCTTCTTAAAAATCATCGTAATATATTTGTGACAGACGGGATTATGATATTTACGCATAGCATTGTTATAGTGTGTTGTGACTATTTAAAATCGTCTTATTAGGTATAAAAAATCATTGCAATAACTACTATTTATTTATTTTTTGTAGTGGTAATAGCATCCAAACAGAGTGTAATACAATTTTATTTATTTTACTTTCAACGAAAAGTCATTTTACAAAAATTATTTTAGTAAAAGATATTTTTCATAGCATTTTGATTTACATAATATGTGATTTTAAATTGTCTTTCAATTATTGGTCCTTGGGGTCCAAGAGTAGTGAATTCTCACATCAAGACGTCTAGGAGTTTCCATTTTCGTAAGTCAAGATCGTGTGCATTTGATTTGCTTGGCATTTACCTTATATTTTCTAGCTCAATTGAAAACGATGGTCATTAATCATGATTAGGTTATCATTGACTAGTAAAAAGAAATTTAGCCCCAAGTATTCTTTTATTTATCAAAAAAAAAAATATTACTTCCTTTGTAAGGTGTTTACAATTTGGTTTGAATTGATTTGGTGTTAAAATCAGAAGCAAATCAATTTTACTTGTTTTTAAATATTGCAATTGAACTAAATAAACTTCTATCGACGTGGTTGTTATTAATTTTTATTCGGCCATTCAATTAGTTAGCATATACAAAAATAAAAGTATTCATTAATTTTTTTAAAAAAGGAAAACTGTTCATTTAAAAAGAAATAAGTTGTCTTCGTGCCATTTTGGATCTTAAATTCTTATACTAGAACTCCATTATGTTTAACTTCCTGCTTATATTGTTAGCTAATCCAATAAACTAAACAACATAAATTTGGGGTCATTTGGTAGCTAGATATGAAATAACTATTCATGTATTTAATTTTTCTATAATTTATATAGGAGAAATAACTTAAATACACAACTATAATTTTTATATTCTCTAATTTTTCCTACTTTTTTTAAATATTACATAATTCTTTTTTTTTTATTTTAGTGTAAGTTTTTAGATACATAACACTCTCTCTCCTATAATACACATTTATCAATTTTAATAACTATTTTTTCTCCATTAAAACACTCAACCTCTTAAATCAGTTTTTGAATTTTAAATTTTATCCATTTAAACACTCAACCTTTTGATCAGCTTTTTGATTTTGAATTATTAAATTTAAATAAAAGAACAAATTTTGAAATTTTGAATTTCAAAATTCAAAAAATCAGGAAGCAGGGTAACTTCCAATGCCTTCTACCGTTTTGTTCTTTCTAACATCAACTTTCACTTCTTCTTTTTTTTCCTTAATCGTCTTCATTCATCTCAACCCAACATATTTTTTTCTTTTCTTCTTTTTATTCTTAATTCATCTTCGTCTATTTCTTCCTAATCTGGAATCGTATGAACCCAACATCTTTTTATTATTAATCCATCATCAATTCGTATATTCTTCTCTTTTTTGTTTTTGTTAATTGTTCTATTACATCATAGTAATGGATCCGTTAATTAATAGAAGGATATATGATTCCGACGATGATAATTGGAAAGAAAGTAGGAAAAAGTCTTCGCATGATCCTATGAATCTTCAGAAGGATTCAAACAAAGACTCTGGCGAAACATTAAAGGTTGTCAAAATACAACAAAAAGGGAAAAAAGAAGCAGCAAACATTGTTGTTAGGCCTACATTGTCTCGGGTTAGTATTTTGGTACTTAAAAATGGTGTTGTTTAAATTAGTAAAATTTTTTAGGAATCAAGTGTGCTTGCTGATACATTTGAAAAAGGGTGTATAGTGTTTTAGATGGTCAACTGATACATGAATTTGTTGTGTTTCATAATAATTTATATGTATCATTAAGTTTTTGAAAATTATTATAATGTATCATTCAATAAGTGTAGTAAAGTATAAATTGTGCTTGATGATACATGTAGAATCTGTGTGTACATTGTTTAGTCAATGTACTGATACATGTAGTAGATATGTATCACATGTTTTGCATGTAGTATGAATTCCTGAATGATATCATGTATCAGTAAGGTATTAGTTGTTTAGTTGATGTACTGATACATGTTTTGAAATTTGTTATAATGTATCATTCACTAAGTTTAATAAATGTTTCATCAGATGTAGTTGATGATACATATAGAATCTTTGTGTATGTTGTTTAGTCACTATTTATGATACATGTATTAGACATGTATCACATGTTATAATATTTTATTTAATTCACTGATACATGTTATAGACATGTATCACATGTTTTTCATGTAGTATGAAATTCTGAAAACTGAAACCATGTATTAGTAAGTTATTAGTTGTTTTATTTAGTAGTTATATTTCTATATCGTTTTAATTTGCGGTTTTATTTTCAAATTGTAGCCACTGAAGTACAAGATTAAAAAGATACCAACACATCCCATAAGGTTTGCTGTCAATTTTAACAACAATTTCCTAAAGGGCTTTGAAAAATACATAGGGGACAATGTTATCCAAATGTTTAAGGATACAATTTTTGGACCCTTTTTAGACATTTCTAAATGTAATTTTCAGGGTCAAATAACTAAGTGCTTATTGCTTTTAGAATTGGAACAAAGCAACCCTAATGTGTTGCATATTAGACATTCCAACGGGTGTGTCCTGAAATTTGGTATAGATGAATTTGCATTATTAACAAGACTTAAGGTCAGAGGAAATACCAATGATTTCAATACCCAGAACAAACTAATTGTATGCTTTTTAAAAAGTATTTCCCTGGTGCAGTCAATAGTGTTACAAAGCATAAACTAGTTCAAAGGTTTAAGATGGGTAATTGGGAGAGCAATCAGGATGCACTCTAAATGTCTATACTGTTCTTTATTCATACATTTGTATTAGCTACTCTTGATAATACAACGATATCTATTGTCGACTTTCTATTGATTGAAGATGGTAGATATCAACATTTTCCTTGGGGTCAGCTATCATTTTCCAAACTAATTGGTTCACTTAAACAGGATTTTGACGTTAGTAAAAATTTGTACCGATTATATGGGATGCCATATGCACTAAATGTTTGGATATACGAATGTGCATCCAATTTAAATTCAGAAATAGCTGTGAGAGAACGCAATGTCATCCCAAGAATATGCAATTGGAGAGTTGTGTCTGAAAAGGCAAAGTTTGAAATGCTTATGTCTACCATTTTCCAAAAGGTAAAATTTTATTTTTGTATATGGAATATCGTTATTTATGTCTTTGTGATATATTATGAATTATTACTGTATCTAACAGTTAAATTATCTTATTTGTTTGTGATACATTCAGAATGCATGTTCAAACATTGTCCCAACAGTAGAGGAAATTGAAGCTTTTGATATTGCTCAAGTTGAACATGCTCATTCTACATCAATACCATTAGTACAACCAAACGAGGAAGATGATTTAGATGATTTCTCCACAAAACCACCCGAACAGTTATTGAGGACATATTCTAGAGTGTCTGATACATCTCCTCCACCACCGCCAAAAAGAAGAAAAAAATCGATCATTCAAAAAAAGAAGGTGTTAGAACAGAACCAGCCTGATCAATCAAATGTGTCTCCGACACCGGATGATGATGTACATGTTTCTATGTCAAGTCTGCCTCAACATTTGAATGTTAATGATGTACATGGTTCTGTTCCACAAGTGTCACCAAAATCGGCTGTTGATGTACATGGTTCTGTTCCAGACGTTTCTCAGAACCCGACTGCTGATGTTCATGGATATGCAGATTCACAGAATGTCAACAATATAATTCCTCATATTGAAGAGTTGAAAGGACATTTGAAAACTTACGTAAGTAAATTATTTTGTTATTTTTAAACAAACTTTTATTTATCCTAAATGTATCTACAATTTTTAGGTTGACAAGAAATTTGAGAAACTGATTATTTTGATAAAAGCAAATCACTCCCAGCTGATGCAATCTATTAGCAAAGAGAACATCAATTTTCTGGCTGATACAAGCACATTTCAGTCTGACAAACAAACATCTCAGCAAATACCAGTTGAGCTCGATGATATGGGTGGTGTAGCTGAGGATGGTGGTGGCTTTTCTGGTAAAAATGGTGAGCATCATATCGTCGACGATGCAGGGGATGTCGATGTGGATGGTGTTGGTGTTTCCGTAAATGAGGGTGAACAAATAGTCAGTGATAATCCAAAGGTAATGTTTATGATACATTGGGTATGTTGTGTATCATGAACATATAGTCAATGCTTTGTATCATGATCACTTTTTTTTCTCATTTTATATTCTGTCATGTATCATGCATATTTACTCAATACTATGTATCATGTGATTGTAATCAATGTTACGTATCAGCACAAATTATATTAACAATTTTTATTTCAAAACTGCATATTCAGGATGATGACGCACATCAGTCGCACCAAGATTTAAATGAACATATCAAGGACCAAGCCGTTGATGACAATGTTCAGCACAACATCCCTCATGTGTTGCCCGAAAAAACAACAACGGATTCATCGGTACATTTTTCAATTTTGATTTATGACACACAATTTCATTACACACAAATTTATTCTAAAAATCATTACATCATATTATACAAGATTCTTCAACTTCAACAACAATATCGCCATCAACTCAAGCAGCAATAGATGCTCTTATCAAAGATTTGGGTAAAGATGCTACTAATGCTAGACCATTATATTCTTACGATCCGCAGAATATAACTAGCAGCCAGTACTTGTTGACCGACAATCAATTACCCACTGATATTCCAATAACGGAGATTGCTGTTAAAACTGATGCAGTCACTCCTGCGCATAGAAATAGAATGCCTTCGAGAAGGATTCAATCTCCATAATGTACTTCTTTTGGGTCAAGCGAGAAGGGAAAAGAGAAATTGAAGGATATGGCTCGACTTCATTTTCCGTTCGAAGGATGTGGCGTTGCAGATAAAGTTTCGCCAAAACTTATTGAGGATTACATGAATTGGTTGTTGAGGGGGCTTCTAAAAAATCATAACAATAAGTAAGTTTTATACATTTTTTTCTCAGTGTTACGCGTAATCATTTTATATACAACTAATTCATGATAATTTGTTATATAAAACTGTAAATAAGTGAGTGTTATGTATCATGTACATACATTGAAAACTTATGTATCATATATGCAGGAACCCATCGGACGATAAATACAGATCAAGATCTTCTTCTTTTGGATTTACGATGATGGACTTTGTTGTTGCTTTTCCAATGAACAAGAATTGGTTTTATGCCATGTCATAGCCAAACAAATGTTGGTCTGATGAGGTAAAATATTAAACTATTTATGAAATATGTATCATTCATAACTATATTATAACATCACGATATGTTATGTATAAGTATCATACTATTTAATTAGCAATGATACATTCTGTATAAGTATCATACTATTTAATTTGCTAAAGTATCATACTATATTCACATAATTAAATTTTCTTTTTTTATATTGTTTAGATGTATATAATTTCTTACTATGTTTTCATTTTGTTTATAGCACATCGATGTGATTTTTTACTACCTTCGTAATAAATCAAAACTTTGCAGCATGGATCAATAAAGATACACAACAACCCACTGTTTGTTCATGTCACATGTAAAAAACTGTTATGATAGATATTACATGGACGATGATGATGATAGTCTTACTACACAAGAACATATTGATCGCGCTTCAGTTGTATCTGTACATGAGAGGTCAATAATTAACATCATCAAAGGGTTTGGAATACCAGCTGCTTTACCATGGCATCTTGTAGATGAGGTCTACATCCCAATTAACTATGATCAAGAATTCCATTGGGTGTTGGCTGTTGTTGAGTTGAAAAACAGGTTGATAAGGGTTTTTGACTCATCAATTAGCACAAGAAAACAAACAATTCCTCATGAGATCAAGATGTTGTCTAAAATGCTTCCTTCATACCTACTTGACAGTGGATTTTTTGAAGAAAATGAACGCACAAAATTTGCTGATTGTCATGCATATAAAGACAACAATAATGGCTCACTTGTGGAGCCTCAAGTTCCTTTCATGATAGAATTTGCACAAGACATCCCTACACAGGAATGCGATAGCCTGTAAGTATCAAGAATTTTTCATTTGCCCTTTTTAATGTATCATTAAGTTTTTAATTTATTCTGTATTTTTTGTAGAGACTGCGGGTTATATGTTACTGCATTTGCCGAGTATATCAGTGACCAAATCAATATATCTTATGCTGATTTTAATCCTGATTACCTGCGTCAAAGATATGGAGCATTGCTGTGGAGTTATGGAAGTGAGAAGGCTAAGTGCCGATATGTTAGCGATAATGATGATCCACCAAAATCCAGGGGCGTAGTCACACCACCACCAGAAGAAGATTTAGTTCACATAGTGTAGCATTTCATGATAAAACGATGTTTTAATGTTATATTTATTATTTTTATATGTTATTGAACAACTAGTTTTATCCTTTTTAATATTATTTTTTTGGTTTTGTCAATTTCCATGAATATTTTTTTCACATTACGTAACAAATATGTTTATATTGAAAATATAAATATCAGACATATTATAGCCCCACACAGGTTTAAATCATTTAATAAAGTATAATCAAAGTATTTATAATTAAACATAGGCATAAAGATTTTTAAATTTTTTATTTAATCGAGATGATACACTGGCAAAACCAAATGATACATATATACCAAACACACACTAAAAATAACTGATACATTGGCTAAACCGTATGTATCATGTACAATATGTTACACTCTAATCCTTAAATTTTACATGATATTTAGGTAAATTGAATAGCATATTCATATGAATTGGTATTATTTTTTTAAAGGAAAGTTATTTACTGTATATTTCAATAAAAGCATAACAAAAAAAACATTACACAAGTTAAATTATTTAAATTCACATGATACATGATTTATAGTCATTCTAAAGTACACAATAACCTCAACAATATATTTGTATTTTTTATCTAATGAAGATGTATCATTGTGCAAACCAATGATACACACTAAAAGTACTTGATACATTATATAAACAATGTGTACCAAAAACACACAATAAAAGTACATGATACGCTAGATAAACCATATGTATCATGTACATTATGTTACCTATTAATTCTTAAATTATATATCTTACTGTAGCATAAGATTTATATATTCAAAACAAATATTGACACAAGTATATTTATCAATACCAATAATAAGAAAGTATTTATAATCATAAGCACGACTTCAAATTTAATTACCACATGTTTGTAAGTTTATTTATCTAAACACAAAGTTTTCAATTTGCAGTTGTAATGAAAACTGAAATTCATTAAAATGTTTACGTTATAAATTATTCTTGATATCATAGAAACATTACGACTAATTCACTTCTCTTTTGGGTAGAAAGTACATGTTCTTCTGTTGTGCCCTTCTTGTCCACATTGTCCACAACATTTTGTGTTCACCGAAATCTTTTCATCTGCATTCTTTCTTCTTCTTTTTCTTGGTCGTCCAGATGATCTTCTGTATCTAGGTGGATACACAGTTTCAGCTACCACGTGTTTAGGATCTGACCAATCTTTCTTATCTGGCATTGGCACCAATGGAATTTCATATGTTTTTGCCAACGCATTAGGCTTGTAATAATCAGAGCAATACGGATTCATATCGGTGACATTCTTTTTTTTCAATACAACGATTGCATGTGAACAAGGTATCTCATCTAGTTGAAATCTACCACAACAACATACTTTCCGCTCAAGACAAACAATATATCTTCTTCCATATTCATAAACTGAGAAAATAAACTCAGATGATGGAACAACCTGTGTACATTAAAAACTTTAAATATATAACTTTTAAAAACCAAATCATGTTAAAAAAAAAGCATAATGATACACAGAATTAGATACATATAATATAAAGTATTATATAATGATACATACCTCCATTTTTGAACTTTTAGCCACGTTTATAATCAACAATTCCTCAAATTTTTTACCTAATGTGTCCTTTGTGTATGAGGCTACTTTCTGTTTTTGCAATGCCAAGATCCAAAAAGAATTCTAACCTCTTCCAAGAATTCTAATATAGTTAATTGGCGTGCTTCAACAAGACAACCATTGATACATTTTGCAATGTTTGAAGTCATCATTCTACCTCTGTTTACTGTTGCATGAACTCTTGACCACTTTTCGTAACCTGCATATTAAGGTACTCCTCAACCCTGTGATCAATTCTATCAACCTTAGCCATCAACTTATCAAAATCTTCCTTTCTATATGTCTTGGCCATAGAGTAGAATAGATCACTTATGGCCTTTCTGCTCCTTTTGAAGTTTCCACATACATTCTTCCAAAGATGCCAGATGCATGCATAATGAGGTACATCTGGGAACACAATCCTTACACTCTTCATGATACTCTCATTTCTATCTGAAACAACACACATATCTTTTCTATCGCCAAATGCATGTTTAAACTGTTCGAAAAATCATGTCCACGAACAATCATTTTCTGTATCAACAACACCATATGCCAATGGAAATATGCTACCTGATTACACACACATTATATTATTTGATACGTAATGTATAAAAAGACATCATTACTATAAATAAAAAATACTTGCGCCATCAAGTGTGCTTGCTGATACAAATGTCCCTTTGTAAGCTCCATTCAGATGTGCAACATCCACAACAACTACTGGTCTGCAGTATTTAAATCCCCTAATGAATGGTCTTAAGGCGATGAACAGATACATAAATTCATCCTCTTCAGTCTTATGCATTCTTATATAAGAATCTGGATACACAGTTTTTAAGATGTGTATGTATCGCGGCATCCGTCTATATCCTGCAGATGGTTTTCCCCTAATCATGGAGAGTGCACGTTCTTTAGCACGCCATGCTTGCTGGTAAGATATTTCAACACCATAATATTCTCTGATATCATCAATTATATTCCTTGGTGTATAAATTCGTTTATAATTGATCAATTTTGGAGCTGTCACTCCACTTACAAATCCGACTGTTGCTTGGACTTTGGTTAATACCCTCTCCCTCATCGGACACGTATGTTCACTATTGAAATTTCTAACAATGAATATATCATATTTTTTCCTGCACGACGCCTTCATAGTCCAACCACATTTGTCTGAAAAGCATGCCAACACATAGCTGCGTACATTTTTTAAGCATATTAATACACATATCAAATGCATCATATATAATATATTCAACAATAATATTTAAAGTAATCAAACAATGAATCACACAAAAAGTATTAACCAATTTTTAAGAAAAGTATCAAAATTTAATGAAAATTATCCACTATTTGTGATATGACTGTTTAAACTGATACAGTCCTTACTATATCAGTAGTAGTACATTCAAGTATCAAATATAGTTATTTTAATGTATCAAAAACAAATTCCTGAAATGATGATACATTAGATTATAAAATAACATATGAAACATGCATGTTTTCATATAGAACAGTAATGTTTCATGTACTAATTAAATTATAAAACAACACATGATACATTAAAATATCAAAAACACTGTCATACCTTTGTTGATCAGACCTCTTCACTTTGCAATTGAAGTTGTTCTTTATCTTATATTTCGTCATCACGTCTACAAGTGTTGCTTTATCCTTATATATCTGACCTGTCTTCACATCAACAATATCTGAATTGATTATAACATTTGCAACTCCAACTTCTGCATTTTCATGTGACTCAAATAAGCTATTTTCAACTATTTCCAAAGCCTGTGTATCATTTGTTATGCCTTCTACACACGTTATTTCTCCACTTCTTCCATCAAAGTTATGTACAGTACCACTATTCTTCTCAATTGTGTCAATACATAATGGATATACTGAAAATCCAAGCTCGTATTTTTTTCAGTTCAAAATATAGTTTAACACTCATATCGTTCTTAAGTTTCATCGGACAAGAGTTACCTTCTACATTGTATCGAATTTCAATTTCTTTCCTTGATACATCAATATCCAACTCGGCCGCAATTGCTGCTTTGAGATTAGAAAACGAAATTGAATCTCCAACAACGATTCCATCAATTTTGTAACTTTCATACTACAATTCGTTCACCCAAATTCCGGAATGTCTCATCAAAATCGAAGTATTCATCTTCAAAAACCCACTACAACAACAATAAAATTTCGGTAGCTCCAATTTTAACAGACTGTTTAAAAAATTGTTTTTAAAATAAGTGATATAATCTTTGATTTTTAAATTTTGAAATTAATATCCAATTAAGTGCTGATTTAATGCTGATTAATGATCTGTTACCACAAATTAAGCTGTTTTAGTAACAACATTAAATTTACCATTTTTATCACCTATTTTTTCTTAACAGTTTTAACTTACCGTGTATCATTTACCATGTATCACTACAGTCTAAAGTATCACGGCTCAACAAATTTAAGGGATTTTTTGTAATTACTAAACTTGTCGGGACAGAATGTAATTATTGAATTACACTATGGGATTCCTTAAATTTATACATTTATATAATGTTAGGTAGATAGAATATAAGCTATTCATATATAAAATTATACAATATTTGATTGAAAATTTAAAATCCACATAAGTAATCGTATATGTATAAGTTATAAGGAAATATATATATTATTTTACGTGAGATAGAAGGTGTAATAACTAATACATGTATAATTATAACATTACAATTAATACCTATAAAAGATAATACATAAATTCACTCATGACTAATTTATTTATTATTAATACTTGCTTAATTCTAACCGTCTATCAAACGACCCCTTGCTGAAATGCATAAGCTATCCATATTGTTCCACAAAAAAAGACGCACCATACGGCCATGCCTTATATATATAATTTATCGATTCAATTCACTTATTTCTTCAATTTTTAAACAAAATCAAATATTATTGGTTTTTAAAACGGTAAAACCAAGTCAAATCAAATCAAATAAAAAATCAATTTATCAGTTTGATTAGGATCAATTTTTGCCCAAACCATGAACAACCCCCCCAACCCCAATTACTTCGTATCACTATATTTATCGTCTTTATTATAAATAGATAATTCATAATAATTATGTCACGACCCAAAACGAGTCGTGAGTGGCACACCAACATTTACCAATAGTTCAACTATAAATAACAAAAAATAATGCGGAACATCAAATACTTATTAATGTAACCAATTAAATAAGTTTCTAAAGTTTAACACTTATTATCCCCAAAATCTGGAAGTCATCACATCAAGAACATCTATCCTCAAATTACCAAGTCTAAAAGTATTTAAGAAACCAAAATAAGTAAAAAGATGGTCCATGTCTGAAATTCAAAGACATCAAGACGTGAATGAGAGAATCCGGTACGAGCTAGAAATAATAGATCACCTTGAACTCTGATGTGTTGGAGACTAACTAGAGTTGAGGGCGAGTCGAAGTCGATGGTACACTTGCTGCACTCCACAAAAGAACTAAGAAGAAAATACAAGTAGGGGTCAGTACAAGGAACACGTACTCAGTAGGTATCATCGGTCAACTCAAAATAGAAATCAATATATAATGAATAATAATATAAAATCAACTACAATACTTAACAGGTGACAAGCAACAAACACATGAACCATTGAAAACAACAACACCATAATAGGTACACCATCAATCACAACATCAAACACACGTATGAGGACTCATTCCTCCACACCATAATAATTTGGAAAATAGGTTCCTTGAGATTAAGTATATTCAGTTACTTCAAGATTCCTTGCCTTTAATGTTATTGTGTCGGAACGTGACACTCTGATCCCATAATACCATGTCGGAACGTGACACTCCGATCTCATAATACTGTGTCGGAACGTGACACTCCGATCCAATTATCTCATTATTTTATTTCAGCAAGTCTTCTTTATTCAAGGCGTCATTTTAATAGAGAGGGTTCAAGATTAGAAATTCAACACTCTCATAATTTTAGGCCAACCACAAACCACACAATCAAAACATACAACCATACAATCAAGTACATAGAAGACTTTATAATATCACTCAATACATATCAATCGCTATTTAGAGTTTATCTATCAAATAGAAATAAACCATAACATATCTCCACCGAAGAACTGAAGTCAAGCAACTACTTCTCCAATGCCTTTCCTTTCCTTATTGCCTCCGAACTCTTCCAATCTATCAAGTATATATATACATAAGGTGTAAGTTAACAAGACCATAAACACTCCGATTATCTGTGTCTAACCTATACCCATCAATTCACCTAATTCTATAATCAATTTCCTAAAGTTTAAACTTAAGGGTAAGTCTTAATTCCTCTAATTAGCATATCTTTAGTGATATTTAAATAATTCAAACCCCATTGCTTTTCGAATAAACACATAATAACATGTCATTGTATAGCTTAGGACTAAAACTTCAACATACCTAATTCAATATATTTAGTTATATAAAATAAATAGTATTAAATCTTGTTTCCTTAAAGTAACTACAGCAAATAAAAGAAATAACCCCAAAATTGTCAAGTTACATACTGTAACTTAAAGTTGGAAAACGAACAACCTTCCATCCCATAATAATATTAATTTTATTCCTCAAATAATCACCTCATTATTTCCTACCATCATGACAATTATTAATCATTATTCTATGTCTTCTTAATGAAATCATTATGACTTATACAATTAAACAATACCAAATTTACTCCACGTAATTATCACAAAACTATTTAAAAATATATTTGCCTAATACACGTCAAAGATTAAAGCTTTTAACAACTATTACCTGGTTGTAGAAATTGACGCCGCAACAAGTTTCTACGATGACCTTTGTTTTCTTCTTCTTCTTTTTTAGAGAATATTTATTACCCTAATTATTATACTTATCTATTTATAAAAATTATAAAAGTGATCCACTATTAATTATAAAGTTATCTTTTCTTTAACCACAAACTAAATAATTTATTAAAATTATCCCACTAATTTCATAATTATAATTATGAATAGTCCAAAACACCCATTAGAATCTATCAAAAAGTATTTTCTGACATAAAAAAGTTCAAGTGCTCAAAACGATCGAAAATGATCGTTACAATAGATACCAATTTACCTGTCGTTCGTCCTCGAACGATCATAGGAAGAAAGGCGAAGAAGAGAAAGAGTACCTGAATCTGTAAAAAGATGTGGATATCTTTCTTGCATATCAACCTCACTCTCCCAAGTGGACTCTTTAACTTGCAAGTCTTCCACTGAAACTTGATAGATTTAATCACCTTTGATCTCAACTTGCGGACCTCCCTATCTAGGATAGCAACAGGCTCATCCTCATAAGACAGATTCTCATCAAGAAGAATTGAATCCCAACGAATAATGCAATTTCCATCACCATGGTATTTTTTCAGCATAGACACATGAAATACTGGGTGCACTCCTGACAACCCTGAAGGCAATGCCAATTTATAAGTCACCTCCCCCACGCGCTTCAAAACTTCAAATGGACCAATATACCTTGGACTAAGCTTACCTTACTTACCAAAGCGTATCACACCTTTCATGGGTGAAACCTTCAGTAAGACTTGTTCACCCTCCATAAAATCCAAGTCCCTAACCTTTCGATCTTCATATTCCTTCTGTCTATCCTGAGCTGCTAAAAGCTTTTCTTGAATAAATTTCACTTTTTCTAACGATTCCCTCAGAAGATCAGTACCCCAAGGTCTAACCTCAAATGCATCAAACCAACTAATGGGAGACCTGCATCTCCTCCCATACAATGCCTCAAATGGCTCCATATCAATCCTCAAATGATAGTTATTTTTGTATGAAAACTCTTCCAAAGGTAAAAATTTATCCCAATGACCACCAAATTCTATCACACATGCACGAAGCATATCCTCCAACACCTGAATCGTTCGCTCATACTAACCATCGGTCTGAGGGTGAAATATAGTACTAAAATTCAGTCTAGTACCTAATTTAGCATGTAATGTCCTCCAAAACTTAGAAGTAAATTGCGTACCTCTATCGGATATGATGGAAAGTGGAACTCCATGAAATCGAATGATCTCAGAGACATAGAGTTTGGCTAACTTCTCGGCATTGTGAGTCATCTTAACCGGAATGAAGTGAGTAGACTTAGTTAACCTGTCAACAATTACCCAAATAGAATCAAACTTACCCAATGTCTTTGGAAGACCAACTACAAAATCCATTGCAATTCTTTCCCACTTCCATTCAGGAATGGGCATTCTCTGAAGTGTCCCTCCTGGCCTCTGGTGTTCATACTTTACCTACTGACAATTCGGGCATTGAGCAAAAAAATAAACAATGTCACGCTTCATTCTACTCCGCCAAAAATGTTGCTTTAGATCACGATACATCTTGGTTGCACCAGGATGTATAGAATACCTTGAACTATGAGCCTTTGTAAGAATATTGTGAATCAATGCCTTCTTCATCAATTAGTTCCTCTTTAGCCTCTCCTCGCAATACCATATCTCGAATTCGGCTCAGCTTCTCATCAGCAAACTGATCTCCCTTAATCTTGTCAAGAAAAGAAGATCTTGCCTCTACACAGGCCAAAAATCCTCCTTTCTCCAGTACTTCCAGCCTCATAAAGTCATTAGCCAGAGTCTCAATATAGATTGATCCGAAATCTGATTCAAATCCAATATAGTACCTATGGGTACATAAGAAATGTATTGAACCGATTCTTTTTAATGAATAGATCCGATCGCAACTTCGAATATGGAATTCAAAGGGATCAAATAGGAAAGGATACTTTGAATCATAGAACTATAATGAAATATACGATCAACCAATATTTATCGAATTTGAAAAAGAGTCGGAAGAAATGAACCTCTCTAGCCAATGAGCGTCTAGAAACCTGTAAGTAGGCTAAACTACCCATGCTCCCTGCTTTTCTACTTAAAGCATCTGCCACACATTAGCTTTTCCTGAGTGATACAAAATAGTAATATCATAGTCTTTCAATAGTTCCATCCACCTCCTCTGCCTCAAATTCAAATCTTTCTGAGTAAAGACATATTATAACTACGATGATTTGTATAAACTTCACACTTGACCTCATATAGATAATGTCTCCATTGCTTTAATTCAAATACAACTGCAGCCAACTCCAAATCATGGGTTGGATAGTTATGTTCATGCACTTGCAATTGCCTCGAAGCATAAGCAATTACATTCCTCTCCTGCATTAGCACTGCACCCAAACCAAAATAAGATGCATCGCAATAAACAATAAAATTCTTACCTTCCACTGGCAAGGTAAGAATTAACACAGTAGTCAACAAGGTCTTGAGTTTCTGGAAGCTTTCTTCACATTCATCCGACCATACAAATGGAACATTCTACTTAGTC